GAGAAGCCATAATCTGTGTGCTTCCCTGCACATAGCTCTGAGTTTTGTTCAGGCCCACATAAGTCTGGTTAGAAAGTGAAGCTTCTTAGGCTGGACCAAATCAGACACACACAGATTCCTACACTCCCGAATATGCAGTTTCTTTTGCAATGTGTTCCTTGGTTGGGCTGGGATGTAGCTTAGGGGATGAGGGCATGTCTTGTATGAGTAAAACTCTGCATAGATCTGGGGATGGGGATGGAGGGTCAAAGAGTGGGGAGATGGGGGTGGGAGGGTGTCAGACATGTGTCCTCTTTGATGTTGCCCCACCTGTTGCAGAGTCAGACCTTTGAGGAGCATGGACCACGTGGCTGCCGTTCATTTTTTTCTCTTCAGTTCCTCCTTGGAAGCATGGTGCTGAGTGCAGCTGAAAGGCAGAAGTTACTCCTGACTTTGTGCTCAAGAATCACTTCTGGTGAGCTTGAGGGACCATATGAATGTCAGAGATTGAACTCAGAACAGTCACATACAAGGCAAAATCCCTACATACTGTACTATCACTCTGATCCCTCAAGAGTCATTCTTGGTGGTGTTCAGTGGACCATGAGTTGTGGGAATCAAGCCCAGACCTCACAAATGCAAAATTTGTGCTTGGTTCTTAGAGCATCGCTTTGGTCTTTGCAGTTATTTACAGCTGCAATAAGCTTCATAAGCTTCTCCTACGAAAAAAGAAAGTCTTTCCCAAGTCTTCATTGCCTTTCACAATCAAGTGTCCCATCTCTGTTAGTTTCCTATAAGAAAGATTTTTAAATAACCTGCTTTCTTGGGACTCAAAAACTTGTGTATTTTTTATCTGTGTAGTACTAAAGAGTTATTTTTTCTTTTGTTTGTTAGTTTGTTTTGAGGCCAAACCAGCAGGTGTGCACTTATTCCTGGCTCTGTGCTAGGGGATCACTTGTGGAGGACTCTAAGGACCATACAGGATGCCAGGGATTGAAACCAGGTCAGCTGCAGTCAAGGCAGATACCCTACCTACTGTACTATGGCTCAGGCCCTAAGAGTTGATTCTTTTCTACTGCCCCCTTCTCTGGGTGCACAAGCCAAGTCTTCTCTTTCACTTACAGACCTAAACAATGAGATGAGAGCTTTCAGAGTCATGCACAAGAAAGCTAAAAATATTTTAGCTTATGAACAGACCACTGATATCTAAGCATATGTGGTCTATAGTCTGGGCAGATGAAATGATGAAGGGTTGTAAAAATAAAAGGAAAACAAATTGCATGAAACCAGTAGTTGGCTTAAACTGGTCTTGGCTAACCCTAGTGGTTGAGCCTCCTTAAACTAGCCTCTTCCACCTATGATCTCAAAACTTCAGGTCAGAAAAGAAGGGGGGTATATGAGGGTGGGGGTGGGGGGACTGCTGGGATAAAAGTCTTTGACAAGGCTCCTCCTTGCCCCAGAATCAAATCTAAAGTCCCCATCCTTTCTGTGGAGAAAGGATCCGCACCTCATTTCCGCCTACCTGTAGTCAAGTCTGAGTAACCCAGAACTGTACTTATCCTATTAGCAGAAAGAAATAATATTCTACTGGTCCTGGGAAACAAATTATATCTTGCCCTTAGGAAAGGGAAAACTAAAGGAAGATTGTCTATTTTAGTTGTACTTTATATCAGAAGGACCTTGCCAATATGTTCCTGTCCCTCATCCGCCCCTTCGCCGGCCACCGGAAGCTTTTCCCCATAGAGTAAATGAAAAGTCCACACACATCTGGTGAGTGCCCTAGAGTACACCCGCGCAAACCTTAAACAGGATTCCAAACCCGAGACTCTGTCGCTGCCCTTATTTTCTGGCGCTCTGGTCGCTTGGGTCCAGATCCTTTTTATTTACCCCCTAGCATCTGGAACTGTAGTCTCCAGGCAAATTGCGCTCCGACCATCCTCAGAGGAGATGTTGTATCGGAGCCATAGGCAGGAGGAGGGCCAGACCCGCCCGGGATCCCCGGAAAACCCAACTCTAGGCAATACCCTGAGCTGAGCCTCTAGGACAGCGCCTCTCTGCGCAAAGCCCACCTGGAAACGCTCGCCCCAACCTCCCCAGGCCCCGGAGCGAGTGCGCCTCTCCACTGCCAACTCTACAGAATCCGGGGAGAGCCAAGCTTGGCACAATCTTCCTCTTGCTTGCTCTCGATCTGATCCTACAACATTTCCCAGGCTGCGGGTGGAGGTAGGCCAAAGTTAAAGACTGCCACTTCCTTCTAAGACTCCGTACGTACACAGATCCATCAGACAAGCCCCACTGCCAGCCTAGCGTTCCTTGGGACGACTCGGCAGGGCTGAGGAATGCTGCACTCCCCTCCCTGGAGGAGAAAAACCTCGGTTCACTGGTTTTCTGGAGGAGTGGCAGCTGGAAGGAAAAGGAGCAACCCGAGCCTACAGAGGCTCTAGGGGGCCCGGGCAAGAGCTTCTGGGTGGACAGGGTCAGCCGCCCCTGCACTTCCCCAAAGTTCCCCAAATGCAGGACCGGGACCCGAATGCAGGAAGGGAGACCCCATCCGCGGAGCTCTCCCGGCTGCGGAGACGTTTCCCGCCACACCCCGCCCCCTCCCTAGCCCAGCAGGACACCGACGTCTTCCTCCTAGCCAAAGAAAGCTCCCGGATGGAGGTGGAGGATGGGGAGCACTACGAAGGCAAAAGGTTCTTATCCAAAACGTCAGCCCTTATCTCATCTCCTTTCTCTGGGTTCCCGGTGCCGAGTCGCATCCACGCCCCAGGACGCTCAGAACCAGGGAATGCAGAAACCCCACCCAACTAGCGGCTGGAGGAGAGAGGGCTGGAGCTTGAACTCCAGGCACTCTCTAACGCAGTTACTGAATGGAAAGATTTGAACGGTTTTCTTTGCCAGATCCACGCTACAATGTCTCTGTTTCTTGTCCTAACCCAGCTACAGATGTGGCCGAGACCCAGTTTAGTCCCACTCAGTGGGGTAAAACGGGGGAAGAGAGTGGAACTGGTCTGAGCTCCTCTCCTTAATTAACAGTCTTCTCGGCTGCCCAGTTACCACTAGCCACCCCCCCCCTCCGCCCCCATCTACTCTCAGGGTCTCATTTGTATCTAAACTGCTATAGGGCAGCGCCGGACAGTTGCAGCCAGTCAGGAAGCTAAGGGCTGCATCTCCACTTTTCTTCGAAAACCAGAACTAGTTAGTGCAAGTGAAAGAAAGGAGAGGGGTGTAGCCAGTCAGGAAGCTAAGGGCTGCATCTCCACTTTTCTTCGAAAACCAGAACTAGTTAGTGCAAGTGAAAGAAAGGAGAGGGGTGTAGGGGTGTAACGGAAGACTAGATTTTGAACTCCCAAGTGGGCGGTCAATCCGGGTGAGCGGTTAATTCAGGGAGCTTTCTCCTCCACCCCCACCCCCACTCCATCCCCACTATGGGCCCATTTCTACCTTCATCCAACAGGTTTGGAAAGACTTTCCCAAAAAAGGAGAGATTCGAACCTGGAAAAGGTCATTGCAGCGGACTCAGTGTGACAACCTCGAGTACATCTGAGAGAGGTAGATTCTAGGATTCTTGGGATACTAAAGTCACGGGGTCTCCCCACTGCCTCATTCGCGTGTACCGCTCGGGCCGGAGCCGCGTGTGCGCGCGCGTGCCCGTGGCCTCCGCGGCGCACAGTCGGTCTGCGGTGCCTTCTCCCCGCCAGCACCGGGCTGTTCTCTTAATGAATTACTAATGAGTTAAAATTGGGCAGCAGGCTTAATTAAAGCGTAGAGGCAATGTGTTTACCACATTGTAATTGAACTCATTAGGGCTATGGCTTTTTGTTTTCTAAGCAGCCGCCTTTCTTCTCTGCGTCGAATAATCTATGGGAAGCGTTTATTAGAGAAGGAGGGGGCAGGGGAGAAACAGTCCATCAATTCTTTCAATGAAAAAGACAGGATGAGAACGGGGAGAGGAAAACAATTTCTATAACGCCCCTCCTCCCCTTGCCTCCACAAACCCCGCGCGTGTGGGGATGTCTTGGGGTAACTGGGGCTGTCCAAGTTTTCCCAAGAAATTCCGAGATTAGAGGAACCTGGTGCGCGCTTCGGGACGCTTGAGAAGTTGTCAAGGTAGAAACGGAGCTGGAGTCAGAAAGGCGTCTCTGGAACCCCACACAAGTGTCCCCACAAGAGGACCATTCTCTGGGTCTGGAGCGATACATTCCCTCAGGAACCCACAGCCAGTGCTCCTGAGGTCTTGAGGCCCGACATGTTTTCAGGAGACCGATTTGGCTTAACTTTGGCTTTTCTAAGTAGCCTAAGAATTTGGTCCTAGCCTTCCCCTCCCCGCTAACGCGGAGGACTCGCTCTTCTTTCCTCTCCAGGTATTTCAGTTTGCCGAGTTCCCCGACCCCCAGCTCAGGTCACACTCAAGTGGGACCCAAGACCAACGCTGTCTACAGAGTGCGCACTCCCAGCCCGAACTCCCTCAGAGGGTCATTTCTCGGTGATGTGGGGTAGAGGAGGATGGTGTGACCGCCTCGGGGGTCCCACCGGAAAGGTGCACCTGCGCGTCTGGGGATAACCCGACTCCTGGCTAGGAGCCCGTGCAGTCAGCTCGAACTGCAGTCACCAATGCAAACGGCTCCCTCTTGCCCGTGGCCGCGTTCCAGTTTCCAGGCCTCCAGTTCTCGCCTCCTTCTTCACGTTTGGACCTTTTGGGGCGTGGGCGAGAGCCGGGCTGGAGAGGTTGGGGCTGGCGCAGCGCTCCTTGCCGTGCCCTGCCCTGCCTGGCCAACAGGCGGCGTCCAAGACCTAGATCTGAGCTGGGGAGTGGGGGGGTGCGCAGCTCAGCACGCTAAGCCGAGAAGCCCGGAACCAGGGAGCGACCCTTACCCCAAACTTACCAACTTGCCCGGGAGGGGAGTGGGAAGAGCTGGGTGGTGGTGGGGGACCTGCGAGGCAGGGACGGGACAGAGTCTCGGTGGAAGACCCGAGCGCCGGGAGGAGCGCGGAGGCCTGCGGGCGGCGGCAGCGGAGCCCGTGCGCGCTGGGGAGGCGGCGGGCACTGCGGGAGGCAGAGCGGCCGCCGAGCCGAGGAGCGCCAGGCAGGCGGAGAGCCTCGAGCTCGCGGGGCCATAGACAGCGAGGACGGCGCAGACAGGTAAGCGGGGTCGCGCACTGCCCACAGCTGCCCTCCTTTGCAGAAAACTGGGTGGAAAGGAACTTCCGGCCCTGTACAGCCTCTCCGCTGACCGGGTCCTCTTCCCTCCTCTCCCGCCTTAAACGCACACCCATGCCCAAGTCCCCAGCACGCGTCATTTGTGCATTTTGTCAAAGTCTCTCACCCTTGCCCACTACCACCTCAAACACACACACACACACACACACACACACACAAACATACTCACATATGAACACTCGCGCGCGCGCGCGCACACACACACACACACACACACACACACACACACACACACACACACACACAACCGCCTCTCTCCGCCTGACCCGGGAGGTTGGGGTAAATTGTCTCTAATTTGTTGCTAAAAGATTAATTGCAGAGGGTGACTCGATTTGATTAAGGCAATTAATCTTTGGTTACAGCGTTCTCGTGTCACTAGTATGGGGGAGAAGGGGACAGTAGAGACAGAGAGGAAAGGCAAAGGGGACTTTTTGGAGCAGCTGTGGGAAGAGGCCACCCCGAAAGGAGCCGGATTCCGCGCCCACCCACCTCCCGCAACCTGCAGCGCTCAGCCCTGGAGCCGACGCCGTGGTTTCAGCACCTGCGGTGTGGACAGCGACTCCAGGGCTCGACGCTGAGTAACTTCCGGGTCCCGTGAGTCTACACGCGCAGGTGGAGACCCGGCTGACCCGGACGCCCCCTCCTCGCAACCACCCCGTCCCAGGCTCCACTATCTGGCTTCCCTTTCCCTGCTTCAAAACAGGAAGGATCCGGCCAAATCAGGTCCCAGAAAAATCCCCCAAATCTCAAATTCACCTCGAGGTGGGAAAAGGAGGAACCCCCAAACCCCATGCCCCCCAGAAAGACGCTCCTTGAAAAGTTCCAAAGCTGGAGTTTTCTCTTTTCGTGAATAATTAACGCTGGTCATAAATAACTGATGGAGGCAGTGGAGAGGGATGCTGGAGGAGGCGGGCGAGAGCCTGGGCAGCCAAAGAGAAATCGAAGCGTTTGCCGAGAGGACCATTAAGGAAGCGTGCTGGGAACGGCATTCCTCCGCGGATCGCGCTCAGCGGGTCAGCCCACCCGGATAAAAGCAGGGGAGTGGGGGGCAGGGGTGGCATGACCAGGCATGGGATATCCATGCAGGACCCAGTTCCTCCTTTGCCCTATCGCTTTGCTTTTACCAAGTATTTTCCCCAGTATCCTTCAAACTGCTCCATCCTTCATTGCTCAAAGTTCTGGGCTAAATGGTAAGACTTCTGTTAGTGCTGTTCAGGCCTATGGCAAGTCCTGACCACTACCGACAGATATGAACGTACACACATCACACAGCTGAATGCACACATGTAATTGATCTGGAAGCACACACAAGTCATCTGGAGGCACACACAACATACCTGGAAGTACACACAGTGCATCTGAATGCACACACATGCCCAAGGCCACACCACCCCTTCACTCCCTACCCCAAATCTAACCCCCCCGACACACACAGGTACCCAGATTATGCCATTCCATTCAAACTGATGCAAATATGTAAGACTCCAAACTCCACTTGGTTCCTTCCCCTCTAACCACAGAGGAAAAGGGTATTGATACACACCAGAACATGGGAGACCAAACTCTTTACACACATGTGCTGTGTTTGTCTATCACTTCTTCATTGTCTGCAATGCCTGACCCTTCCGAGGGTCTTGAGCAGACTGACTTAGAGCGTTACATGGAACTTAATTCTAAACTGAAACTCTCAGGCAGGGACCCCAGAACCTGGAAGGAAGCCCCAGAAGAAAGCTTTGCTCCTGGACTAGAGGCTGATCCTAGGATCCCTCTCTAGAACATTGGCCTGTCCCTAAGTAGTCAACTTCAGAGAATCAGTGCATGTTTTTGGTGAAACCCCTTAGGCCCCTCAGCAAAACAGGCCCCTAATCCCTCCCCTAGGCTCCTTGAGACCCTCCTGCCTACAAGCCAAATTCTATATTCCCAGAGCAACCGGCATGGGCAAGAAGGAAGACTGAAACCAGCATTGGCTATGAGGTTGTGTTCTGACTTAGGGGCAGGTCAGAGCATCTTTCTAGGTGTAGCCATTGATCACAACTTCTAGGACACCTGCCCACTTAATGGCTAGCTGAAGACCTCTGGAGAGGTCAAAGTCTCTGAGAAATTTCTAAGAAGAAAGTTGGTGGCTAAATCTCAAGGAGCCTGGGCTGGGGGGCGGGGAATTGGAGGGTGTGTGTGTGTGTGTGTGTGTGTGTGTGTGTGTGTGTGTGTTGTGTGATGAATCTCTTTCTGAAATAAAATACTACATATGTTTTATTTTTGCACCCATATCATCCCAGCCTCTGTATTCTCCAACCCTTGCTCTCTTGTTGCCCATTAAGAATTGGGAAATTCTGGCAGGGGGTAAAAATCTGAAAATTAAGCTTTTTTTTTAGAAAAAGAGAATTTTCTTTCACAAAAGACACGGGTTGTGAAACTAAACATAGGAGAAAAGAAATCAGATCTAGAGTACCAGGGCTGAGAGCACAACCCTGGAGCCATGGGTTGTTTACTTCTCATATAAAATATAACTCCTCCAAGCAGGAAGTTACTGCAAACAAGTATCAATAATGAATGCATCTCCTGTAATAAAATACTTACATAATTAGCACAAGTCAAGTGGTTGCATTATGTTAACCTTTAGCAACTCAGAGCTGGAATTTTTTTTGCTCCAGAATTCCTTAGAATGTTGTTTTCATTCTCCAGAGGGAATGAGAGCCAAGTACTCACCCAGCCTTCCACTCTATTCTAATATGGTTTTCCATTTCTGAACCAGAACGTAAGTACTTCTGAAATATAACAGAAAACTCTCTTTGGTGAATTCAGAACAGTCATTAACATTCAGTTTTAAGTGAATGTTAACAGTAAATAAAGAAATCTCTTGATTGTAATAGTAGTAACAAAGCAATAATTACCCAGTAGGTGGTCATCAGTAATGATAAATGTATCATTATTACTGTGTGAGTCTGGGAACTCAGTTTTGGAAAGTACTTCAGACTTTTTAGTAGCATGGCTGGTTACAAAGCATTCCTTAGCCTGCAAAAGCCATATAATTTTATACACAATTTAGGTGAAAATAAATTTAAATCTGTATATTACATTTTTAATTTCAAGTTAGTAATTAAAGTTGGTTCATTATATCTCCTCTGAAACCCTCAGTGCTCATCTCCATGGTTTGTTTGTACAATTTGTTTCTAAGACACCCAAGGTTACACAGTTCTAAAAGATGGAAAATTTAATTATTTGCCAACATTAAGAGTTTGTTGATGATATCATAATACAGCTTGAAAAAGTTTGGGATTGGCATTGCCTTTGGTCTGGTTAGCTATGCTTCTTCACTTTCAATCCTAACCCCATGGAAGAAAATTGTTCTTGCTTAAAAATTACTTTTAAATACACAAAAATTGAAAATGCTCTCAATACTCTCAGTATTCACTGGTTGCTCTTTTTTCCAGGAAAATAAAATCAATGGCTCAGATTTCTCCCTCCCTCTTCCCTGGGATTTATTTTACTAATATCTAATTTCACCTTTGCTACCATTGAGTTAACGACTGCAGGCAGAAGGAAAGCTAAAGGTTTGATGTTTATTGGGCAGCCAGAGAGCACATGATAGTTTAATAGTGTGTTCACTAATTTGATAGAGCCTGATAGCAAAGTAGACATTTTCAAATGGGGGTGGGGTCAGGAAAGGGATAGGAGGAAATGAACAGGAAAAGAATAAAAGGCTTTCATTTCTCTAGGAAATAAAATCCAGTTCCGGCTACCATTGTCAGCTGGATAAATGATGAATGTATATCTATGTCATTTTCTCTCTTGTGACATTTCAACAATCTATATCTCTCCCCCCTGTTATTCCCACTCCTCCACCTCCCCTATCCAAGCTTCTAAAGATCCTGCTTCGTGCTCTTTCTGCAGTTTCAGCCTCAGTGATGTCTTAAATTGGTTACCTGAAACAATATAGCTAATTTAAAAATAATAAACATAATAAGCCCAAATCGTATTTCTTATTTTTTGGTGGTAGTTGGAGTTTTCATGCAATTAAAGGCTCTTGCATAAATCCACTCAATTACTTGCCTAGATTTTTTCTCTCTCACAATCTCTATTTCTTGCCCCACTTTCCTTTCTCCTTTCTCCCCTTTTCTCCTTTCCCTTCTTTTGGAGTAGCTATAAAAAGGCAAGCATCTTGCCTCATTATTCATTATTCTAGCAGCATCTTTGAGATGCATCTTTTGCCAGTGAAAACTCCATGTAGATGCCTGCCCTTTTGTTGCAGCGGCCTAGGTTATTCAGAAGCAGAGACAAAAGCCTGAAGTGATGTGATCTAAATGAGCTCTGGGGTTTTCCAGCTGGGACCACCTTCATTTCAAAAGACCCCCCCTCCTTCCCAATATAAAGGGGAGGGGAATAGAGGGCGGGTACATATGTGTGTGCATGCACAGAAATAGAAACAGGAGACAAGAGGGACTAGAGGGAACCTAGTGGGTTATTCCTGGCACCAGTGCCCCTCCATCTTTAGTATATATTTTCAGGTATGTTTATGGACTTAAATATGCCCTTGAGTATTCTGTAGGCCTTTGAATTTTTTCATGACTAACTAATAATTGCTAAGTAACCACATGACAAATAAGTTCATGCTCCATTTTGTATTTTAGGGTTACATGTAAATCTTACACGTACATGTATACCTTGCTGTGTTTGAATTTTTGGTAGGGCTTGGGACTATAGATGACCTATTAAAAAACCTAATTAAAGCATTTCCAAAAGTCATTCACCTCTTTTCGGTGCTAGAGCCTTCCTTCTTATTTCTGAATAAACTTGCCCCTAATTCAGATGCAAGTTTTCTTCTAAGAATTGTTTCCCTCTGTATAATGGGTATTAATTCTTGGTTCCTTGTCCTGAAGTCTCAATTTCTCACAAAACAGTTTGAATAGTAAGGAGGACTCTCA